ACTTGGTACCTATGGATCAAAATGGATCATGTGATTCATTTGTTAAGGTTAATTTTTATCCGACTAACAGATTTGTCAATATGCAAATATATAAACCGTCTGTTCATCATAAAACGCGATTTCCATTATACGACGAAATATTCAAAATGTAAGTACGATTAGGCTGATCTTTATTCACTTGGTACATCGTAAAAATTTTACGTATTATTACAAATTTAGTCGATATATTAAAATCAAATCATTAAAATCAAATCTACTCAATTCCTATCATATTAACCATGCTTTACGGTTGAAGTAAGATTTCGTGCTTCAAAAGTCATACAAGTTTTTCGCCACACCATCTGTCTTCCTTTTATTCCAAATATACAATATTTCGTCTCATCCGATCATTAAACCGATTCCCAGAAAGATATAGGCTTAGTTATATGTTCGTTTGCAAAAGAAATGAAGAGCATTTTCATATGATTTTTTAAGGAAATTAATGGCTTTTTGCGTGCCACTCGCCCATGATATCCAGCCCTTTTTAATATTTTGCACTCATTTCGATTAACGCTGAATAATTCGAAATATTTACACACAAATTGCAAATTTTTCCTTCGATTATCTAAATCTGTATTATTGACAACAACGTACAAAAAATTAACAGATCTTAAAGGCATTGAAACTTCAATAAACTAATGAAATAAGCAGTGAGCGGACACCTTTTCTGCTTATTCTGTATAAGTAATATTCAAAAAATGCACTTAACTTTGCAAACGCACATAGGAATTCCACGGAATTTGGCGACTGTAATGCAATTAGCATGCACATCTGATATTCTGAAAAGAACTTCAAAAACGTATATATTTTATAAATTTTTTTATTGAAACACATTCCACGAATTGGTAAGCGGAGACTTTTTCTACCTAGTGGATGGTATAAAGTTGAAAAGAATAACGAAAACCATTATATTAGATATATGTATGTATATAAGTTAGGGGAAGTACCTAATGAATATTTTGTAAAACATTTTTATTAAGAAAAGACACTTACTTAATTTAATTAAGATATCCCACAAATTCACCAATATCCGCGGTATAAAGACAATCATATGTCGAAGGTCTTCTTATGCTATACGTTCAATGTATATTGACCGCGACCCAGGATCGCAATGTTTACTAAACGTGTAGCTTGCAATATTAATGGATTGCGATCCAGATCACAAAATATTTAAATATTTTGAAATCCGATTCGTGGATCGCGCGATCAATATCTTAACGTTCAATATTGATCGCGCAACCCACGACATTTTGTATGTAAATTCGCAATACAACGGAACAAAGTTTTGGAAAAAATTATAAATCGTGCGATTTTTATTAAAAATTAATAATTTATTTGTAATTATATATAAATTTAAAATTTTTGTCTTCAAAACCATAGAAACTTTTCTTCAGTTTTCTTTCGGAATTTTAGAAAAAAACCGAACAAAAAATCAAAGAAATAATAAAACAAAAAACTGACGCGATAAGTATTGTACGTGTAGCGCGCAAATATCCAAATATCACAATAAATATTGAATGTGTGACGGGCAAGTCTTTACCGTTACTTTTTTCAACTTAGGCTGTGACAAATTTTACAATTCTTATTTTAGTTGTATATTGCCGATTGGCATCTGTATATTTAAATAATTAAATATTTGCGTACAATAAAAGAAACTACTGCTAGATACGTCGCAATTACTATCCTTTTTAAACATCCACTTAATTAGCAATCATGTTGTCAATAGATAATAGTATTTATTTAAAAATGGCTCAAAAGTTTTACCAAAAACTAATAAAATATGTATGAGAATGACGTCACATGAATTTGGTTGGCTTAATATTGTTTTCTATCATTCTTGTAACCCAATATTGACTATTTTTAGACGACAAATATTTAATGCAATACTTGTGCTGAGTTCTATAAAATATATTCATGGGTGTTTGATTAACATATTGTATGTGTGAATTAGGTCTATTACCTGAGATATAACATTTTACCTAAAAGTGGACAATTTTAATACTGATTCACAAGCAAAAATTATGTACTATCTTTAATAAATCCTAAACGAAAAGAATCATGGCTTAATCCGGGACAACCATCAACATTGACTGCAAAACAGATCAATGCGGTAAAAAAGCAATGCTCTGTCTTTGGTGGGATCAGAGCTATGAGCTTCTAAAATCTGATGCGATTGTTAATACTAATCGCTACAGACAACAAGTTATCAATATAAACCATGCATCGATCAAAAAACGACCTGAATGGGCCAGAAAGCACGGCAAGCAATTTTGTTACACAACAATGCACACAAAGCAAAAGCGGTTCAGGATACAGGATACAAAGTACTTGGCTGGGAGCTACCCCACCCGCCGTATTCACCAGAATTGGCACCTTTCGATTACCATTTGATTTAATCGATGGGACACGCATTGGCTGAGTAGCACTTTGATTCCTACGCAGAAGTTGAAAGTTGGGTGCCTGATTGGTTTGCTTCAAAAGACGAACATGGTATCCAGAAAGGTGGTCCAAATGTTTAAAAAGCAATGATCAATACTTTGAATACATTTTTTTTTTTACTTTTGTATTACTTTTTGATGTCACTGCAACATTCGAAGTATGTATTGTAGAATATGTGTGTTATTTTTATTTCGCCAAAAATAAAGTGTAGTCAGGCTAAAGAGTTAGGTCTAACCTTCAAGGGTCACAGCTGCCGGTTTTCTTTAGATCATTGCGACCAATTATATACGGGATAATATACCACAATGATTTAAACTAATGACAGACATTTAGTATTCTTTTTTTAAAGACCTTATTTATGGTTTGGTATAAAAAAATGTTATGTTCTTTTTTTATGATTTTTCTGTCTACAAACAAAATACTTTTATTGTTTGGACAGGTTTAACCTCCGGGTATGTTAGGTAGTATGGTTGATCCTAATCGGTGGAACTCACTTGAACCTTTGTGTTACCCATAAACTCCTAAAAATTTATCACCAATTTCTCATAGATCCACGAAGCTTTTGAGCGTACACATTTGTTAAAGTGATTAATAGTCACTTCGCTGGTTCGCCGAAGGTGTGTCTACCGAGATATTTTCGTATTCCCGGACAATAGAGAAGAAGTTGCTAGATGGTTCTCTGTCCTCCATACAGTTCTGGGAAAGAGCGGCCGACAAAATATTTAGTCGCACCTCTTATGATTCACTTTGAGCCAGAAGGATCTCGCAAACGCACAGGGTCTGGTTGTGGATCAGAGCTTGCTGAGCTCACAGGTCCACACGTCCAGCGCTAGAACGCAAGAGGACAAAAATACCAACTAGCTTCGAAAGAAATTGTGATAAGTATGCCCTCCCTAGTAAGCTCATCGGCTTTGCATCCGGCCGTACCGCTGTGGCCGGGCACCCAAACAAGTGTAATACAGAAGAATCTTGATGCTATTGCTAATGAGGGCAGGCACACCTCTCTAAAGGAAGATGCACTTCGAAGCTGAATATCTTCTGCTTCCTTGATGGCATCCACCTCCGCTTGAAAGACGCTACAGTGGTCTGGTAACCTGAAACTAGTGTTTATTAAGAGCTCCCTACAGATGACTTTGCCTCCCTCTTAACTTCAAACCATCCGAGAAAAAACGCTCCCCGCCTCCAAATATCTCTCAAGATGTGATGCATCGAAGTAGTGTATAATTTCAGAGTGGCCCTATTCGGGGCCCCACATATACCCAGCTTCCGTAAGTCCAATAGTCTTCGCTGCAATGAATTTTCTAATGTTTGGCTTCCATGAGAGCGTCCTATCAAGGATAAGACCTAAATATTCACCCTATCCACCGGTTGAAGAAGAGAGCCTCCCAACGAGGGGCGAGTAACATTAGGGACTTTGTATCTTCTAGTTAATAAAACTAGTTTAGTTTTATTTAGATTTATGGCTTGGCCCCCTCGTTCCTGAAGTTTGTTCAGTAAGTTGTTTACCACTTGGATCCAGAGAAAAGGGAAAAGGACACCTTGCGGGACACTTCCTCATTCTAGATGACATGCTTCAGATTAGCTTCGACTTCAAACTTATCAAGAGCTCTAGTAATCGCCTTCGGGGGCCATAACAATTTTTTGCACGCTAACATGTGCTGGTATCGAAGGCTTAAATGGCTTAAAGAGTTCGACGCTTATCCAGAAAGTTGTACAGACTTCTTGAAGCTCTCCAAGGGGTACATCTTCCGTAGATAGATTTAGGGGAAGGTGAGCGTCCAGGTGTAGCTGTAGCCACTCCCCATTACTCACAAGTTCTTTTTCCAACCATATCTCTCAAATACGCCAAAGGGTTAGGCTTAGCTGCGTGAATCTGCTCTGCCATGTTGCCAACCCGCACTCTCACAACTAGGAAGTGACCTGGAGTTCCCTTGACCACCTCATGAAGGCCACGGATAAAACTGGCGCGACCCGCTTCCAGTCCTCCTTTGATATGCCTGGTCGCCGGCACTGAGCACCCTTCTAGTCTGCTTAGATTTCTGAACAAAACTGGTATATGTATATTTTTTTTTGTACAATATACAGTTTGATTTAGAATCTGTCTAATTATTAAAATGACAATAACTGAATTTGCTGGCAAAAACCATGATGTTGAAGTACAATAAAATATATTTTACATAAATGAAGAAGAGATGAATTGAAACTAAAGTGGAGATCTAAATATCTTTTTTGTTTCCAATCGAGAGAAGTAACGACTACAAAATTCTGTTATAGTTTCTTTTACAGTAAGCATTTTTAAGTCTCTATGAAGGATGTTATTTCTAACATAAAAAAAAAAAAAAATTGGGTGTGCACCAATATACTGCCAAGAACTTTAATTTGAAAGTATAGAATAACTTTAAAATTTTAATCAGCTGAGCTGCACCGGATTTGAATTCCATACGACCAGATCGGTCTGAATATTGCTTTATATATGAGTAGCTTGATCTTTAGACTAAAGCACGACCTTGACCTTAGAAGCCAGTATAGCTGCGCAAACCTTAGTCTGAGGTGGGTACACGTATATTAAAGTATATTGACATAGATTCAATACTACTTTTTGTTTCATGTCCTAGATATTTATATTAAAAGTTATCTAATTATCTCATATTTATCATATTAGTGCTGTGGGAAGTTACGGATATACATAATTTTTTACTAAAGTTATCGCTTCCACGGGCAGACGGACGAACGGACAATAGACATCAGAATTCAACTCGCCATATTGATTAATTTTAGATATTATACAATACTATTATATTCTATACAACATGTTGCGAGAGTATAAAGACCGTGTCTTACAATTTAAATTTCATTTTCAAGCATTTTATCGGTTACGAAAGTAAAAAAGGTAAATTCTGTTCTTAATATTTCAAAGTCGTCTGGATTTTTGTCTCTAAAAGCTTTGTTTAAAAAGTCACAACGTACAAGAAAATGCTCACACTTAATCATTTAAACCTTTAACTATGTAATAACGCAAGTGAGTTTTATTTTGGATGAGTCTCGCGAAATCACACTGGGACAATGAATTTTTAGGTTCAGATTTCTTGAATGATTTATTGAAAAAACAAATTCAACCAAATTCAAGGCAAGAAAGCAATTTGTAGAAGCGTGCTGGAAAGAAGTTATGTATTATTTTCAATATATTGAATTTTTCCATTGCGTAGTTGCAGCCATGCTTATTATCTTTTATAATCTGTTTAGTGTTTTCGGTGTAGAATACTCTAAAATTTTTGTTAATTAAATTATTTTTTACATTTACAGCAATTTAACAGAAGAACAACTTTCCAAACATAACAGTCTAATATTATTTAGCATAAAAGACAAAGACCTTTTTGGTATGACCAGTCAATACATAGGTGAATGTTACATAACTTTTGCGGACCTCATGGCTAAGGAAAATGAACAAATTCATATGGAGCTATCTCGACCACAGTACATAGGTAATGAATGTAATATTTAATTTTTTAATTTATGTTTACTAACTCTTAACGTATTTGCAGAATCGGAAACTATTCGTGCGTTAGAATATAGACAGGGTGACAAACAGGCACGTGATTTTTTAAAAAAATTAAGAAGTAAAATATGAATTTGTGGGAAGGCTAAACTGTAATTAATAACTATATTTATTTATACATTATATTTTTATATTATAAATAGGTACACGTATTAAACTTTTCCTAAAAAAACGACTTTCTTTTAATTGAAAATAGTATTTCAAAATAAAGTGGAAATTTCTAAATAATATTCATCCTTTTATTGATATATATTGGATATTGTATAACATTTGGGCGCTACAGAGGCAAAGCAAAAATTATAAACAAATATTTTTGTTCATTATCGATATTCGATATGAAGGTTTTGCTCACTGTTTTCTTTGATTACAATGGTGTGGTGCATCATGAGTTCCTTCCAAAAGGTCGTACAGTTAATAAGGAATATTACAAGGAAGTTATGCAACGTTTGCGTGAAGCAACACGGCTCCAACGATCGGAATTGTGGAAAAACAAATCGTGGATTCGGCATCACGATAATGCACCAGCTCGCACACATCAATGCTTATTCGTGATTTTTTTGGCCGTAATCATACCTCAACCACCATATTCACCAGATTTGGCTTCCTGCGACTGCGATTGCGGTTGACTATGGCGACTGCAAGGGATAATGGGATACCCAAGTTTCCAGTGTGAGGGGACCTCAAAATTAGCGTTTCTTATAACATTTTTTATTGTAGCCAGATCGGACAAAATAATTTTTGGGAATTTAAATTAAAATACCCAACATTTATTAAAATTAAATATTATTATACATGTATCCATTAAACATATGCAGAAACTTTTTATACTCTTTTTTTTGCGATTTTGTGATATATTAAACAATTAATTTTTGAACTTTCAATGCGCAATCAAAAGAATAAATGTATTATATCTCAATTAATAAATGTTTCTAAAAATTTTCAATTGAAAATCAATACTACTAAGCATGAGCTCGCAAAAGATATCATAACATACATTTTAATTTCGCGTTTTCTTTCATTTTCATTGTTTTCCAATTTTTGTTAGTGATCTTTTGACGTAATTTCAAAAAAGTATTGAAGAATTTAGAATGATAGAAATTCGGAGAGTAATGAACTATCAAAATTCCAATCGGGCATTCGCAAGCATCACTCATGTGAATCAGCAATAAATTCTTTACACAAAAATTATCTTTCGTCTCTTTGAACTTTAGGAGAGCATTTGAGACTAGATAGGGAGATTTTGATACGAAAAATAAGTAAATATGGGATTCGGGGAGTGAAAATAGAAACCAAAGAACAAAAGTAAACGGAAAGGTATCAGACTAAGGAAGGGCTAAGAAAGAAATTCCGCAAGGTTCGATTCTTGGACCCATATAATTAATATTATGTATGCATTATATATCTTGGAGTAATTATAGATAGCGAATTCAAATTAAATGATTACTTCGAATTGTAATTAAATATGAAACTAGGAATATATCATTAAATTTTTTAACCTAATATATGTTGGGTGTTTGAATGTAAATATCCAAAAACAACTATTTTGTTTGATCTGGTTACAAGGCAAAATGTTATAAGAAAACGCGAATTTTGAGGCGCTCCCAGACTGGAATGAGTTGGGTATCCCTCTATCTCTGATTTCCTTGATAAAATTAAACCTTCCTCTTCCGCAAAGGTTATACATTCAGGTTATACATCCACACACTTTTTATTTCTATAATTTATAGCACGTACGAAATCTTGCTTTAATGCGATAATCTACTCAGCAGCCTAAATCTCGTAATTAAGAGTTAGTCGAAACTTCTTCCCAAATCAAAAAATGTGTCCATTAAATGGAAACGATTTAAAACAAGACTATTTTTTTTAACAAAGTACGACATTACAATGTTTTCTTTTAATAAATATTAAACGATGTGTATGTTTTATAAATCACTAATAGTAGTCAGGACAGTCTAGATTAGTGAATAGATTATCTTATATGAAATATATTCACTTCACATTTTTGGTCTGAACATGGTATTAGGTATAGGAGGGCTAAGAGAGTAATAACCTTTGTGATTTCATTAAGATACTTTACAGATTGGCTAATATTTTCGATATAGGCAACCAAGCACATTGAGGTTTTCATATTCGGTATCTAAGATTGAGAGCTTTGACTCCGCTTTACATTTAACATTGCTTTATATAGGTAGTAGTCGTGGTTGCTATCGGTTTCCGTCAGTTTTAAGCAGTAACATAAAAATATCTTAGTTATGTTATGTTCCCAATTTGGTTGAAAAGTGAATATTTCATCTATGAATGGATGGCGCCATGCCCATTGTTGTCTCTGTATACGAGCTCACATGCAGTTGTATCATTTATTGCTTTAAACATGCTAATTTTGCAAGTTAACGCTACTTTCTATCGAGTGGCACACAGCTTAAAATTTGTGAAGATATTTTTACATTTTAGTGTGTGTAAATGTAGAATTATTTTGAGGGACTTGGCATCACTGCAGTAGGCCATTGACTCAATCATTTAACAGATCTATTAGAGATGCGTCAAATTATGAAGAGCAAATATATTATTTGGGAATGAAACATATCTGAAGTTTATGCGTCGAATCGTGTGTTCTTTGTTGGTGTATGTTCGCTTTTTGTTCGTTTATCGGTTTTTGCAATTGTCGAATTAAGTAAAAATATACAACTTTAGATATCAAGTGTTTGACTGCCAACCTAAATAAATTATTGTATAAAGTTAATTTGTGTGTTACCGTGTTCATATATATTATATTTTAAGAGGTAAACAAAAGTATTATTTCGATATCCGGTCGATAAATCGTTCATTTTTCACCCCAGGAAAGCACAATACAAAAATTCACGGCAAATGTCTACAAGCGTTTCAGAACAGGTATACCTTGAATTAAATTCATTATAAAACTATTACTAATGCTAAAATATATATTTTATTGCTCACATTTTTTTAATCTAGATGAAAGCACCTGGAAACACAGGTAAAGCGCCCGAATTCCCAAAAAGTTAGTCTCACGTTATGACTAGTGAACTAATAAGCTTGTTTTAATTATAAGATACTAAACTATTCCTTTGTATATATATGTTTTTTTTTTGTTAATTTTTGGCAAAAAAGCAAAAAATGTAGAGGAGCGAAATATTCCCTGGAGTCAGCAAGTTGACGAAGCTTCGTATGAAAATTTATCATCTCCTGGCGATGAAAATACATGTATGTTTTTGAAATACAATATACATATATAAATAACTAATCTTGTATTTTATTATAAGATTCTCATCAGAGTTCAATGCAGTTTCAATATCCCCCATTCAATGTAAAGGAGAGTCAACATGTTTCCCGGAATAATCAAAAGCCTAGAAAACAAAACAGTGGTAAGTTAATTTTTTCTTAAATAAAAAGTGATTTCTATATTTTGTTTTTAAACACAATATTAATTTTAGCTGGGATTTAGAATAGCTTTCTTCGAGGTTAAATAGATATGGATTGATAAAGGAGGTTCCCCATATAAGAATATGTATATAAACTGGTGCAGTAAAAATAGGGACCCATTGACTTATTTCAAAGAGCAAATCACAAGTCGCTGTGCATGATATGTGATATCAAAAAAACTTGTACTATTTTTTTAATGGACCGTGCCTTGCAATTGTCTTGAACGAAAAAGGATGGTAAAACTAAGCAAGGAAGAAAAAACAACACGTCACAGGGACGGTTTTAAAAACTACTTCACGTCAAAAAACCGAAACTAAAATAAGGGAAAGCAAAACAACGGAAATTAAAAATTTCCAACGACTTGTGATTTAAACCTTTGTTGATAAAAAGTTTTTGTGCTTTGAAATAACTCAATGGGGTCGTTGATATTAACCTTCGAGAGACAAGGCATTTTTTCAGGGCATATGTAGCAAGGCGGTGTCGTATGCGACACTTTCCCCAAATGCACCCTTTACGTTATTATTGATAGTTTTTTTCAGGCAACATGAGTACAAACACAATCTCTGAACCCATTCAACATTTATTGGTTATGAAAATCATAAAAAAAGCTACAATCAATACCTATTATAAAAGAAAAATTAGACACATCTAAGTTCCTATCATACATAGAAGATGGTTGAAAGTGTCATATATGACACGGCCTTGTCTCTCGAAGGTTAAATCTGCATATCTGCAGAACACTTATAATTTTTAATATATTATATAATATATTTACTCCAGATTAAGAATATATACAATTATAACCGCCGGAAACTTATAGTTTTCGAGATATTTGCATTTTAAGTTGAAAATTTGACAAATGGTATCTTGCAATTTCTCGATTTATAGTTAATTTCTCTTTTATATTATGTACTTATAATACGCTAGCACTTCACTACATTGTTCCTACATATTTATTTGATACAGTTATTTTAATATTTGCTTTAAATTCAGAAAGAAGTAGTACGCGAAAGGAATAACGACCACCCTGGAGCTGGATCGCCCCGCCGAAGGCCGCCAATTTAAAAAAAAAAGTAGGACTCGAAAGGAATAAGGACCACCCCGGTGTTGGATCAGCCAGGGTTATTATTTTGAAGCGTGGCCGAAAGCCGCCAATACAGGAATGAAAGAGAATATGGCAACACTTATTATTTGTCAATATGGAACCCTTTAGTATATAATGAAAATTTTGGTAAATGTATAGTTTAGGTCCCCCAACTAAGGAGGCCTCAAAAATGAAATTTTTTTTTAATCGTCTTATTTTGACGCGAATATTTCAAATCCGGGAGCGGAAAGTGCATTTTTTCAATAATTTATGTCTGTATTTACAAATATATAATATTTAACGCACTTTGCACATATTTTTCAAGTCACTTAATTGTTGTTGTTGTAGCGGCAAAATTCTACAGAAGTCAGATCACTTAGCTGTAATTACCAGTTCAGCGAGTTAAACATTTTCTTGTGATGGTTGTTGGTGTTCATAATTCAATCGCGTCAAACTCCTTTCTGTACTGGCGGCCTTGTAAAAAAAATTTTTTTTTTGTTTTTTTTTTTTTTTTTTTTTTGAAAAAGAAATGTTGAAAAAATTAACTTTCCGCTCACGGATTTGTAATATTCGCGTCAAAATAAGACGATTTAAAAACAAAAAATCATTTTTGAGGCCTCCTTAGTTTGGGGACCAAACTATATATTTACCAAAATTTTTTAAAGGTAAAATGCTCATTTAAAGCAAATATCAAAATAATCGGTATAAATTAAATGTGTTAAAACAATGTAGTGAAGTGTTAGTGAATATTTAGTTCATAATATAATATAAAAGAAAAATTAACTATAAATCGAGAAATTGGAAGATAAAATTTGTAAAATTTTTAACTTATATTGCGAATATCTCTACAACTATAAGTTTTCGGCGGCTATAATTACATATATTCTTAATCCGGAGAATCTCCCCTACCCATTTTAACCATGAAATCGTGGAATGGTACACTAAAGTTCCCCTTAAAGTTGGGTTTAAAATGGCTATGGGTTCGGGTTTAAATTGGCTATGGGTTGTTAGAGGGAGCCCTACAGATTTAGATAATGTGTATATACAACTACCGCTAATTGGCAGTTTTTAAGATATTCGTATTTAAAATGCATAAATTTAAAATTTTAAGTATGGTATTAAGTATGGAATGTAGGGATCTCCAATAGAGTATATGTATTAATGATCAGCGTGATGAGCTGAGCCGAGTTAGCCATGAGCGGGGATGGACACGGCCAAAACCAAACGACTCAGAAAATGACATTGTGTTAGTGCGTTTGCAGTGTAACAAAGCAAATCAACGGGTCTGAACCGGGACAAGCTTTCTCAATATGTGCACATGCAAATGAATGTATTAAAACTAATATTACAGGTAGAGTGGCAATTAAATTATAGTTGGACAATTTGACATTTAAAAAAGGGACTTTGATATTTTATCGAGTAAGAATTAATTTAATTTCATACGTAAAATATGGATCTATCCGCAACAACATATTCAGTCAACTGCTAATTGCAGACTGCATCCGATTAAAATCAAGCTCTTTTATGGACAATTACTTTTAATTTGGCAGTATATATTGTTCATATCGGACGACTATATTAAATATTTAATGTACAAACTGACCTATCAAAATCAAGATAAAGATTTTTTATACCCCATTATTCTTTGGATATTTTAGCTTCTTCGAGTTGACAATCCTTGACCGGATAAAAATCCGAGTCCGTTCCGGTTACGTAAGCCCGACTGTCGTGGGAACGGATTTATAATGGGTGTTCTTTTTATAATATGTCTTTTCATACATTTACATTTTACTAATTTGTTTCTACCTTTTCAAATATATTTATTTTGTATTTAATATTGCATAAATAGCTTTGAATCAATATTCAACTATTTGTTATTCGTTTTTAAAGAAAAAAGTATATTTTAACTAAGTCGGGTGTAACCGAGTATTTTATACTCCTTCAACTTGGATCAAAGCAGGGAAAATACCTTCACGTGTGGCAAAACTAAAAAAATTTGCGAAAGTTGAAGTAATTCGTAGTCCAATATCACATATTTTCGGCATTAAACTATAGTATGTCCAATATTATACGATCAGTTAATTTTGATATAATAGAATAATGATATCTTACATATTGGTGTTGTTGTTGTTGCAGCGATTATCTAATCCTCGCTTGGGTGGTAAGGTTCAGGTTGATCGTCGTCGAAATCATCTTACGGTAGGCCCAGGAAACATTCTTTTTCAACTGGGTCAGACCATAGGGAGAAAGGTGTGAGTTGGGCAAAACATGGTGGTTGGTATCATGCTGAGACTCGTTGAATGCTGCACATACATATATTTGGTATGTCGGGGTCGATTCTGCATTGGTAGGAGTTTAATCTGCTACAGTACCCAGAACGAAGTTGCGCAAGAGTTACTCTAGATTATCGAGGCAACTCGAGCTCTTCGTCTGCAATGGGTGGTGAGTAGACTACAGTGCATGTCTGAAGTTTGTTGCGTCCACGTCCACGTAGTCAATGAAGGGTCTTGATGTTCTTGGGAGGAGGTTCCGCTTCAAGCAGACGATTGCAAGGGTGGAAACATCTCAGCAGAAACTGCTTGGAGAGGAGTCATTGTGTTCCTTAACCGGAAGCATACGGGCCTCGCTGTGTAGGTGTTCGGCGGAAGCTACCAAGAGGCATCCCATGATAGTCCGGAGTGCAGTGTTCTGACATGTCTGATGCTTCTTCGTCTGCGTTGCACTACATCCAGGTGACCATATCGGTGCAGCGTAGTTTAAGACCGGGCGGCCGATTGCCGTGTTGCCAACAATAAGCTGCCGGCTTTGTACTGTGGCATTTATCGTGGGTGTGTGAGGAGTGAAGAAGCACAGTCTGCCAAAAGTTACACCTAAAATCCTAGCGTTAATGACTGTCGGAATTGTAATGCCACTCCTTGCAGAGAAGAAGCGAGAAAGTTCGGAGAGATAGCCGTTTACTCTTGAGCACATGACATCGATTCCTTGCCCAACGTCTATATCGTGCAATCATCAGAGTACGAGGTGATGGAAAATCCCTCTGGTTTCGATATGTAGAAATTTAACATTAATGGGGAGAGGACACCACCTTGCGGAACCCCCTGTTTAATTATTCTTAGTTTAGATGTTTGACCTCGATACAGTACGGATGATTGTCGACCGCTTCAACCGTGGAGAGAGCGTGGATTGACAAGTCCAATGCTACAAGGATCGTTCCTCACAGAAGGACTTCTGGTTTAGGCAATGAACTTTCTGTGCGCTTATGACGCTAATTTCTGTGGTGGTGCTATGCACTTTTCAGAAGCCATGCTGGTGGTCTGCTAGGCTCAGGTTGTGAGTGAATGTCAGGAGTAGCAAGGCCTCAAGGGTCTTCACTACTGGGTAAAGGAGAGTTATCGGACGATAAAACTCCCCTTTGTTGGCGAGTTGCCCAGGTTTCAGTAGTGGTCTTCCGACTTTCCACACATCGGGTATTTGAAGAGTGGTCAGCGAATGGTTGAGGACTTTGGTTAGGAAACTTACTCCCGTAGCATCAGCGTGTTTATTCCATCAGAGCCAATGGATTTGGAAGATTTTGCCTTGACCGCCAGATATCAAAGATGTGAACCTCAGTGCCTAAAGCTACCTTTTACCTTTAAATATCGGTCAATTTGTGATATAATTATTGAAAGTAGGGGAAATTGTTATTATAATAATTAAAAATAATTTTTCTGATATTTTTAGCACCAATATATACTATAAAGGGATTTCAAACTTCCGGATTACTTTGTATCATGTATGTCAATCAATATGTAATATATCTTTCCGAAATTATGTGAACGTCTAATATTGATTATATTAGGCGTCATAAGCTCATCGTTGACAAACACACTTAGCTTATTTCATATATTCAAATTGTGTTGGCTATGCGGGCAAGAACAGTCAGTTGATATTCAATTAATTCAAAATGTCTGACATGAAGTGAACATAAGTTTAAATTTATTAATTTGTAAACGAATTATTAAAATACCTTACAAATATATTGATTTTGTTTATTTGAGGTCAAGAATACAAAAAAATGTAAACAAAAGTTTTAATTGCCTTAATTTTAACCCAAATCCTATCTACAAGAATCTGTAATTTTGGCCAACACCTTGTTTTTTTTGTTGTGCAAAAACCCAACTGTAAACGAAAAAAAATTTTTACTGGCAATGTCTCTGGTTGAAGCGAATAATGCCAATTATCATATACTACATATAACGATTTTCGTTATTATAGCAGACTTTATGCCGAATATGACTGTCAGTGTGTAAGTTATCTTCATAAAATTTTGTGAAAACATGTTCCCAAATACAGCCGATATAATGATTTCCGACTTTCTAGTTGAGTTTAAACAGGGTATGAATATGATGATTTCCGTTTCATTGTTTATAAAACATATTTCTTATTAAAGCTAACTAGATTGATTTTAATATCTTATCTCGGATATGAAGCAATATATAGCCGCATCCTAAGTCAGCCTACTACCTATAATATAAGTTAATAAGGTACCAAACATGATTGTAATCCCTTCACCCTCTCTTCGAATAATAAATTTTGAATTCTTTCGCACCATTTTTATACTCTTGCAACATATTGCTACAGAGTTTTGTTGTGAAAAACAAACGGTTGTTTGTATCACCTAAAACAAGTCGAGATAGATATAAGAGTTATATATACTTGTACATATATAAATGATCAGAATGATGAGATGAGTTGAGTTGAGTGTTTGTCCATCCGTCCGTCTGTCTGTCCGTGCAAGCTGTAACTTGAGTCAAAATTTAAATATCTTAATGAAACCAGGTACATGTATTCCCTGGGAAAAAAAGACGAGTTCGTAGATGGGCGTAATCGGACCACTGCCACGCTCACAAAACGCCATTGAGCAAAAACCTATAAATTGCCATAAGTAAGATACAAAACGGTAATTTAGCGTGGTTCCGCCTTCTTAAAGGTTTAGTGCACTTATCTCCTAAACCACTTAAGTTATAATAACCAAATTCGCTAAGAGTAAATTCTTTAAACACCCCTACCGACATTGTAAATATGGATGACCCCGCCCTCTTCCCATATAACGGCTTTGTTAAAAACTACTAAAACCGAGATAAATCATGAATAAATACGCCAGAGTCACTAAATTTTACCCCTGAGTTGGCTTTATAAGAGCGATGGGCGTGGCACCGCCCACATTAAAGTATGCAAATCAAGCGCAATGAATGTATCGGATAAATCTTTGGCCGTATAGTGTGCATAAGGTAGGCCACCTTATGACGAAAAATTGTCAAAATTATGATTGCAACTGTTCAAACCCCAACATATCGAATATGTGGATTTTATCGAAAATATCGGTCAATTTGTGAGATGTGTTATTGAAATTCGAAGCAAATCCTTTTCTGATAACAGTATGTCAAAAATGAGTTAAATCGGATAAAATCTTCTCTTAGCCGTCATATACCTAATACCAAATATATTATTTCTGGTTTACTCTAGGGTTACCCTTATCACGATTTTCAAACATTTGGCTGACTTTACTCCTTATATATAATAGTATGTGTTATCTTGTTGTTGTTATTGTAACGGTTACCTAGTCCCCTCTTGGGTGATAAGTTAGAGTTTGGTTGTCGTCGAGGTCATCTAACGGAAAGCCCAGGAAACGAGCGGTTTCGACCGGGTCGGGCCATAGGGAAATGGGTGTTAGATGAGTGGGGTTCGTTGGGCATGCAAAGAGGTGGTTAGTGTCATGCGGAGACTCATTGCACGCTGGGCATATATTATGTGGTATGTTAATAGTAAATGGTATTGTCAAAATTAGATCAAATCGCGTCAATTCATCATATTAGATTACATATACCTTTCGGTTGGTCTTATACCATATATAGAAATTTCGAACCAATATCCCACCAGGATAACGCTGCTATCCACGTTAAAAGACATTCAGTTCACTGGTTTAAAAAGAAAATCATAAAATAAATGAAATGGCCAGCATGCAGTCCTGACCTAAACCCAATCGAGGATCTCTGGCGCATTCTGACTAAAGATGTTTATAAAAATGGACGGCAACTTAACAATGTTTTTGATCTTAAGATCGCAATTAACGAGAGTTGAGAAAAAATTCATGAATATATTTTAAAAAACTAATAGAAAGTATACCTAACGGCATTTTCGGCTTAATAAAATGAGAGCAAAATAAAATATTAATTATGTACTGTTATTTTAGTTTTTCACTATTATTTTAATAAAATACAATGAAATTTCTAGCTTTTACAAAATTTTTGATAATAAAACACATACTAAATTGATTTTGAGAAATTTTTTTGTTTCCTGAACTATTAGGGTCAAAAACTTCAAACAAATCGCATTCGGCTAAACGAAATGCGCGCACTGTATAAGTATTTCGCCAACTTTGATCCTTCAAGCTGCAAGAGTATAAAATTTTCGGTTACACCCGAACTTAAATCTTCCTTACTTGTTTAATATAAAGTTTAGGCTACACATGAAGGTTTTACCCGGCGTTGATCTTTGAAAATTGCGAGTGATTATGATTAATTCGTAGTTGAAATTGATGAGTCAGATTACCATTAATTTTCCTTATATGTACATTGGCATTAAAAGTTGCATAGGTTTGCGTTAAATGATTTCATAAAACGTGACGCGTGTGCCTTCTCCTGTTAACACAACATTTCATTTAATCCAGTTGAAACAAAGAGTATTAATAAAGCTCCTAGTAACGGATGAAATTGACTGAAGTGCCGCTTGACTGTAACTGAAAATGACAATACATTCACCATGATAGTTCTTCTGTAGAACAATCTTTGCACAACTGCTAATGACGTAGACCTCAGCTTGAAAATTTTTCGCAGCGTTCCCAAGGTCACTAACAGTTTGATGCGTGGCTGTATGAATACCATTCCATAGTGTTCCTTGTATGTACTTTCCGAGAGTGAATCTTCCCATTCTTCGTGGTGCTTAATGTCGTGTCTAGAAAATAGTGCCATTGGTAGCTTCTTTCCAATGACAGTCAGTTTTTAAGCGCCAATTCTACTACGCTACTCTCTTCTTTCCATGTCGAAGTGTGGTCAAGGCTCACATCTAGCGCAGCGGTTGGGCACGAGGATATGGTATTCTTGATATGCAGCCTCACGTTCTACCACCTAGGCGTTCGCATACCGTCAACGCTTTGGTGACCTTCACAATCGGGACTTCCACGTGTTGTTCACCTAAGATTAGAATCTAATAATGTCAAATGGTGTGGACTCAAACTTTCATCTTGGTAACATCACTCCATTCTGAACGCATCCCTTTGACGTTCCTAGTTGGATGCCTATATTGATTACAGTGATCTTACTTTAATACTTAAAAAATAAGTATACTTAAAATAACCTTTATTAATTAATTAAAAAATGAGTTTTTTTTTTTTTGTAATTAAATATTTTACTCGTATTACCAAAACCAAAATGTTCAATTAATATTGATATTTACTGTGTATATACCTATAGCGATTATTATATTGGATTTTTTAGACACCGCTAAAAAGAATGGGAAAACCGCTAGTTTTAACTATACGAAAAGAGACGACTTCCAGTCAAACCCATGGGGGAATCAAAAAAAAGGGAAAAATATGACCGACAATCCTTCAAACATCAACAGGGTAAGTAATATTTGGCATTGAAAAAAGACAAATGAATAAGTAAAAAGTATATATAATAACAGGCCATCAGAACAGAAAATATGTATACAATGGGTAAATTTGAGAACAAAGCGATTATAAGTGCTCCGAATGAGGATAAGAAAGCAGTTACGACAGCTTCTGTGGCACCCAAAAAGACAACTTGGGCGTCAATTGCTTCGCAGCCAGCAAAATTGGCTTTAAGGGTAACGAACAAGTAGATAGCCTATTTTTTTAATCACTTTTATAACGTAGTATAATTTTAGACTAATCTTTCAACATTAAGTCATAAAAAGAAAGGGCCAGGTATGCCTCCTCCGCCAATGGTACCGGGAAAACATAACTTGGATGTTAATACATGGGAGTTGCCAAACAATAATCCTCCTCCTCTACCATCACCACCTCCATCGACTGATAAATCATTTATTGAAGTTGATCCCAATTATACAGTTGGAGTTGGATGTGATTATGAAATAGAAGAGAAGGCTGATAGAAGTCACAAAGGGAGTCAATATATTCGCGAAGATAATAAATCAAATTACAATAATAGTAATTATGGACGTGCGCGAACTTCACCTATAAATAATTCGCGTAAGAACTGGTCTTTACAGCTCTTGGAACAAAATAATCGGGGGCTTGGAATTACGAACTTAGGTCATATTCGTCGTTCCGATAATAATATTGGAAATTGTGGTTATCAAAGTCGATTCACGGAGCGTAGAAACTATACCCGTTTAACGGAACAAGAATCTACTCTAAAAGATATTGGTGAACGAAGTTTTGAATCATGCCAGAATGTTGACGAAATAACTCCAGAAGTTTCAAATGCAGTGCTTGAAAAACTATATGACAAAAACAATTACAATCCCTTGGAAATTGACTTAAATATTGCAACTTCAGCAAGGTATCTTATCTGACATTTGTAATATTTGTACAAATAATTTTAGTTCTGATGTTGTTTTTTTTTTATAGATTTTTTGTTATTAAATCATATTCCGAAGATGATATTCATCGTAGTATAAAGTATGAAATTTGGTGTTCAACTGATCATGGCAACAAGCGACTAGATGATGCTTTTAAAGAACGTCAAAAGGAGGGTGGACAAGTTCTTCTCTTCTTTTCTGTAAATGGTTCCGGTCATTTCTGTGGAATGGCTCAAATGATTACCGCTGTTGACTATAATTCTACGTCAAGCGTATGGTCTCAAGATAAGTGGAAAGGAAAGTTCAAAGTGAAGTGGATTTACGTGAAGGATGTTCCGAACCTTAAATTAAGGCACATACGTCTAGAAAACAATGACAATAAATCTGTTACAAACTCACGCGACACTCAAGAGGTGCCTAATGCTAAAGGTATCGAAGTTCTTCAAATACTCCACTGTTATAAACATTCTACATCCATTTTTGACGACTTTTATCATTATGAAAAAAAACAAGAAGAGGAAGTGTCAAAAAAGCCAACTTCATACGATA